TCACTCACAAATTACATCACTAGTTGAATTATGTTGCCTTATGTTTTCATAGCCTATTCATAGTTGTGAATTCAGTGGTTCACTGCTAAAACGCGGTGCAGGATACACTGGTGTATGTTGTGTGTGTGTGATGGTATGTGACCAAACGGATGATCTCAAGCAGGTGTGGGGTCGCTCAGTCTCTTCAGGTCATTACACTGACCTCTGACCTTTCTCTTGCAAACCCTAACCGGTGAGGTATTCTGTCTCTCACACAAATACAAGATCTGTTCCAAAACATATTCACCTGTATAATATGACTTTACACACACTAAACAGTCTAAATCAAATTAATCATTAAATTATAGTTATATAAAATCAACCTTTCCTTAGAAATTTGACCGATATATCTACAGTATCTCTGATTACTGCCTTGAAATGCCTCCAGCATTGGCAGCCACTGGGTTTGGAAACATAGCCGTTGTCTGAGCCGTTGTCCAGGCTTAAACTGTTTATGCTTTTATTAGTTTCAGTGCTATTATCAGTGCTATTTAGGTGAGCACTGTATTCGAAAGCATGCGTGTGTTGTTCAGACAGCTGAAGGTCTATTTTTGCTGCTGATTCTTACACCTCCACATTTGGACGATCAACACTTCGCTTTATGACACACACCACATAATGGCAGCGACAACACACTCACCTCTCCTAATAGCATCAAAACACACACTCACACCAACCGAAAGCTGACAAACGCTCCTTTAACAGACTAACGCATCCCTCCTGTCAGCTGTGAAAACAGGAGCAAACATTTGGAAGATGAGTTTGTAGCGTGGGCCGGGTAACAGATGGAATGGATTGGTATGAGACTCCTCGTGTTAGTCAGGGTGCCGCTGCCATTATGGCTTTAGTGGGGAATGTGTGTTTGCTGATTTAATGCATTGGATTTGTCATTTGAGCATCACAAACAGTCATAAAATAAGTGAAAACACTGTAGTTCTGTACAAAGCTGCTTACCTAGAGAGCATTTTAAAGCAACATGAAATGGTGTTCACAAACTATTTTGCTTCTGTATTGTGATGCATTTCCAAGTCAAATAGGATGTTCAACAAAATAATGTAGGGTGGGGCTTGGTTTAGTCTGAAGGGAATGATTGCATTGAGAAAAGTGGTTATAGGGGAATTATTGCAATATTTATAGGAGTTTTTAAACTTTAATGAACAATTACAAAGACATTTTTACTTTGTAATGGCATGCACCAGTGAAATGAAAATGTGAAGTAAACATGAAATTAGTAAGCAGACTGTTCCAAAACCTCATTTACTTGCCATATTGGATACCTTGGTTACTTGGCAAACCCAGAATGCATTGCAAGTTGACAGAAATGTTGTCTTGTCTAATAAATTTCATTCAGTATTGATTGATAAAGATAATTTGATTATGAACTATTTTGAAGACATTTTCCTGTGTGCATTGCATTTTTTTTTTAGTTTGGCAACATGCTAACATACATTAGTTGTAACAACTTGAAAAAATTCTGTTTGTGATTGACTTAAAATTATTAACTTTAGTTAAGTTGGAAATGTAAGTTATCTCAACAATTTTTAAGTTGAAACAACACATTATTACTTAATTTAGTGTTGAATTTTAATTTGTGATAACTAATCGCAGCAATAATTGTTTTTACTGAGTACAAATATCTAAAATTATTCAAACACTAAGGCCCAATCCCAATTCTATTTTATACCCCTTCCCCTTCCCCTACCCCTCCGCCTACCCCTTTCCCTTGTCCCTTGAAACAGAGTGTCAAGGGGTAGGGGTGAAAATATTCCCCTAAGAATTGGGACACCACTACTATGCCGTCACACGTCATCATACGTCGTCTAGTTCCTGCATTACACACACATACTGGTGTGAATCAGAGCTTTTAATTACCGTTCTATATTTCTGCGTTGCTTACTGACACACACACACACACACATGTAGAATTGGGGTTGGGCCTTAGTCTTAATACCTAACTTTCAAAATTAATTGAGTTTTTGACTTGCGTAAGAAAATGATCTGCAGAGAATGGCTTAAGAAAAATAGAAAAAAGACAAATCTTGTTTTCCATTTGAATTAAGTAAATGTTTCTGTCCACATCTGCAGATATTTGTTTTTAAGTTTTAAAGACTTAAGTTTTAAGACTTAATGTACTGTATTGATTTAAGTATGTTTAGATATTTGTACTGGAAAACAAAACAAGACAAGTTCAAGTAAGAAAATCATTTTCTTGCAGTGTTTTCACAATCTGAATGTTTCTGGAGTGAGTTTGGTTGTAGCTTCAGTAAATATCGGAACTCTGTGTACAGAACAGGGTCAAGTGTTTAGAGAAGGAGTGACAACCGTATTTAACAGAGGTGAGTATTTGGCCTATGTAGGTAGGAACAAAGCTTGCGTGTTTTTGTCTTTACTTTAAAAGGCTCAGCTTCATTTGGACTGAGTTTGATATGGGTTAAAGGTCAACCTAGTACAAATTGGAAGAAGAGTCAAAGGTCAAAGCTTAAAGATGACCACCATCGCTGCTCATTATGTTTGGGAGAAGTGTGTGTGTGTGTGTGAGTGTGTTTTACAGATTTACTGGTTGATTGGTTATCCAGAAGCCTCAGTAAGAGGGAGCGCTGTTCATTTGACCTCTTTTTCTCTTGTTTGCTTGTTTATTAGTTTTAGTCAGTGGCGGCTCGTGGGTTTTAAAATAGAGGAGGCACACTAATTGTATTGGTCTGGGATCCCTGCCAATTATTATTATTATTTGCTTAACCACCTTAAAATGGCTTTTTGGTTGCTTTTAGTCAGAAAACGTAAAGAAAATGACATACATACAGCAAGATAATATAATTTCACTTACCTGGACTATCACTTGAAGCAAACATCCATCCCTTCTTAAAAGACTGTGTTAAACGAGAGCTGCCTGTTGCGCCATTTAATTAAGCCGACTGCTGTAGCCTATATCCAGCTTAGGCTGTTTTCCCTAAATTTGTATACTGTTTGAATGACAGCTTGGTAAATCTGTTGGCAATCAAATATTCAATATCACTACTCATCATAAGTACTTGGTACATTATCAGCGCAGCGGGAGACGTTCAAACTAATATCATGTAATTTAGTCTCTTTGATGATTGGTTGATATCAGAAGGGAGGCTAGCCTCCCTTGCAAGGGTTCTTTTCTCAACACTCCTCAGCACTGGAAGTGAACACTCGATGCTGATTGGCTAATTTTTTTTACCAACGGAGGCACGAGAGCTCATCTCTTCCCCGGCCTCCCCCTCCCCTTCTCTATCATTAGCGGTTGCAATTACATCAGCAGATTCGGCACATTCACGATGATACTATGATACTGTAGTGTTTTTGTTGTTGTAGTAAGTAGGGCTGCACGATTATGACAAAAATCATAATTGTCGATTATTCCCTTGAAATTGTAATTGCGATTATTAATTACAATTATCACAATTTACATTGAATGATGTTTATACCATTGTTTGATGCAACTGCATGCTGTATTTTTATATGAAAATTAGCTGAAACCACTCTAACTGAAAAATGTTGTGCTTTTCTATAGTATTAAGCCTCAAATGTCAACTATACTTCGGATTGGTTTCTTCTTTAAATGATAAAAAAGTAAAAATTTGAATTGTATTATAATGTTATACTAAAACTAAAATTAAAATAATGGGAAAAACCCTACCCTAAAGATAACATGTAGAAAGAAAAAAACGCATCTTAAGCACGCAGAATAACATAAGTGGACTTTGAACGATAAATTGCCGCTTTGAACGATTACGTAATTGTGGCATCCATAATTGTAATCGCGATTAGAAACTCGATTAATTGTGCAGCCCTAGTAGTAAGAATTACGTTGCTGTGTGTTTTATGCTGAAAATGTCAACAATTGTGATGGTTTTTTAAATTTTTATTTAGTTTTTAAATGTAATGAATTATTATTTTTTTTTTTGCATTGCGCTGTCTGATGTTGCTGTGTGTTTTATGCTAAAAATGTCAACAATTGTGATGGTTTTTTATTTTTATTTTGTTTTTAAATGTAATGAATTATTATTTTTTTTTTTGCATTGCGCTGTCTGAAATAGCATACTATCCTACTACTCATACTATTTTTGAAGTACGCACAGTATGCATTAGTGTTATTTTAGTATCGTTTATTTATTTATGTATTTAATCAGTGACAATACACATTAATAATGCATACAAATCAATGTAAAATGTCCCAGATTTCGCCAATAGTGTTTTCATAGTACAGGTTTTGCTAATATTTTGAATTAAGTTTTATTTTTACATTTTCTGTTTTCACTTAATTTTAGTTAATGTTTTTTCAAATATGTCTGTATGGTATTTCTTTCTTTCTTTTTATTTGTTTGACTTTATTTGGTTTATTTTAATATATATTTTTTAAACATTTAATTTTATTTCAGTTCATTTAATTTAGTTAAATATAACAACCCTGTTATGGAAACTAGCTGTTTAATTTGAAAACCCGGATGACATTTTCAAGTATGTGCAGTATAAATTAGACTGGAATACTTTATCCCACAATGCAGTGTACGCAACTTGACCTGTCATTCTTAACAAACTCATTATTAAGACATTTTAAGCCAAAAGTTAAGACATTTTTACACACACACACACACACACACACAAACATGCAAAAGATTTATAATAATTATTTATTATTAAAATATATTATAAATTATATAGTATATTTCTTAATATAATTATTTATTTATAATAATTTATTTCTAAGATGATAACTATGCAGCAGTGCACAGTATGCAGGAAACATGCTTGTATTGCATTCAGCCGGTGTGTTTGGTAAAAAGAAGGCAAAAGGAGGGTGAGGTGAAAATATGGGGGCGTGGTCTCAAAGTGGGGGTGGGGTTTGGCCCAACTACACTGAGGCTACTGTGTGTAAGACTGTGAATAATCCCCTCCCCTCTCTCTCTCTCTCTCTCTCTCTCTCTCTCACTGGGCAGTCGGTGTGAAGCTGTGATTGAGGCTGCTGTGGGGTGTGCAGTTTCTCACATTCTGTAGAGGACACACATACACACACACAGAGAAACACTCAAGAGTGTGTGTTAGGCAGACAGCTGTGGGATTCACTCGCTCGCTGGAGTTGCGCTCACAGAAGATGGATCTCTTGAGGACTTGCTTGCGTTGGGTCTGTGTGCTGGTCATTGGAATTTTGGGACTTGTGGAGGAGAACTTGGGTGAGTGTCAACCTTCAGAACATTTACCGACTGCAGTTCTGTGTGTGTCTAATGCAGGATCTGTAATGCAGCTGGTCTCTGCTCTACGGATCGCCGCACACATTCACATTCACTCAGATGTTGCTGTTGTATAGCTCAGGATATTTTAATTGACTTCTCAGTTAAGTTTCATCTAAGTGTCATGGTGTTTCTTCTAAAATGTCTTTATCAATAGTTGACAAAGTTAGTATGTCAACTATAAAATGAATGTTGAAAGCAGATAATTTGGGTGCATTTGATGAGAAATGCTTGAGTTCATATTGAGATCTCTGAAAGTTGAGGGCAGACTGTGGTGTCTTGGTATGATTGAGCACATTATTAAGATATCTTTTGGGACTTCATTGGAGACAGGTGAAATTACTGGGGTCTTTTTTATTTACTTCATTGAAAGTCTTTATTTGCTCTCCATTTAGTCTCATTGGAATCTGGAGGCAAGCAAATATGCTAGATTGGGGAGAACAAATGTAAAAGTTTATGAATCAGTCATTGACATCTATGATAGTTACAGCCCCGTCTAGGAGAAACGAGTTTTTATCCTCACTAACTTCACTTTTCTTCATTTTTGCTCAACGTCTCAAAGTTTCAAACCTAACAAACTACTTTTCATGAAATGTTTTTGCTTAAAGCGGGATTGAGATATATTTATTTAGTGATAAAGGTAAATTAAGTATTATATTATGAATAATTAAATTTAATATATTAATAATGTAGTCTGAAATAATGTAAATATTCAATAAAATATAATATTTGTCTAAATAATATTTGTTTATTTTCTATTTTTTATATTAGTATTCATAATGTAATTAAATTAAAACATTAAAGAAGAATATATATATATTATTTACAGTAATATATTTTATTAAATTATATTTTCATTTTTTTTTTTAATTTGATGATCAATTATAATTATTATTAGTTAAACATAAATATGTATAATTTAATTATATTTATCTGATGCAATGTCATTTATAAGAGTGATTTAATTGTCCAAATTCTCCTTGGGGCCACTGTATTTTAGTATAATTACAACTTATTAAATCTGTATTTCTTTGTTAGTATGCACAGTATTATGTGCTTTATGGTGTTCTGTATGTTGGACTTTTCCATCAGGCTTTTACAAAGCTCATGTTTGGTGGTAGTGATGGTGTGGCAAATGGTCAGCCAGGGGTTGCTGTGTGTGTTTCTTGTTTGGTAGTGTGCTATCAGCCTCTCAGCTGCCTAACACTTGTTTTACACACAGTTGGAGGTCTGGCTTTGAAATCACTCAGTGTTTAATCTATACAACAGACTTTCTTTCTCACACACTTGTTTGACTTTGTGTTTTCTAGCCAGACTTAGTTTTTTTTGTTATTTTAATAATCAGTGACTTTTCCTTCCGGAAATGGGTTTTAATTGCATATTGACGGAATCTAATTTTGTATTTGCTGTAATAAATGTTATTTTGCTGTTGGTCCTTTGTAGTATAAACCAAATATGTGACCCTGGACCACAAAACCAATTTTCTCAAATTGAGATTTATACACCATCTCATTTCCATTGATGTATTGTTTGTTAGGATAGGACAATATTTGGCCGCGATACAACTATTTGAAAATCTGGAATCTGAGGGTGCAAAAAAATCAAAATATTGAGAAAATCGCCTTTAAAGTTGTCCAAATGAAGTTCTTAGCGATGCATATTACTAATCAAAAATTCAGTTTTGATATATTTACAGTAGGAAATTTACAAAATATATTTATGCAACATGATCTTTACTTAATGTCCTAATGATTTTTGGCATAAAATAAAAATCAATAATTTTGACCCATACAATGTATTTTTGGCTATTGCTACAAATATACCCCAGTGACTTAAGACTGATTTTGTGGTCCAGGGTCACATATGGCCACCTGTACAGAAGCATCAATAAGTATTTGGAGACTGTCTGAATGTCACTGCATTAGACGCACTCGAATGCCGCAGGATCTTTTCTTTTCACTAACTTCACTTTGCTCAATGTCTTCTACTTTTTAGTGGATTTATGAAGTTCACACAGTTGTCCTTTTTATTTTAGTATATCTTTTGTTTGACGATTTCAAGCTTAAAGGAACACTCCACTATTGGCTCATTTGAAAATAGGCTTTTCATTTTGAAAATAGGCTCATTTTCCATTTTGAAAATAGTCTCAATGAGAAAATAGGCTCATTTTCCAACTCCCCTAGTGTTAAACAGTTGAGTTTTACCGTTTTCGAATCCATTCAGTCGATCTCTGGGTCTGGTGGTCGTTGGAAAGTGTTCCTTTAAACACATTTTAAAATAGTGATTGCTTAAAGTGCGATTGTGATATTTATTTAATGATATTATTTAATAAATGTTTCAATAGTAAAATGTTAATTATTTAAATAATACAATTTAATAAATATCATATATAAATACATGTATTAAATTAGAATAAAAAATATGAAATATCAATAATGCAATCAATAATATAATATAGTATTGAATAAAATATAATATTTGTTTAAATAATATTTATATGTAATAATATATGTATATAATTTCATAAAATACTATATCAGATTATATATGAATATTATTTAATTAAATTATTTTTATATTTTAATTTGATTATTAAATTATATAATGTTATATAATAATATTTATCTAATGCAATGTCATTTACCTATTTGTAAGTGTGATTTAAGTGTCCAAATCCTCCTTGCGACCACTGTATTTCATTACAATTATAATTTATTAAATCTATACAATTTATTAAATCTAAGCTAGTAAAGAAATTGATGTTCCTATCCTTTTTGTGTTAACTTGTGTACATTAATTTTCACTTCTTGCTGTCTCTCGCCTCCTGAGCGATAAAGAGAGAGTGAACGTTCCATCATCAGCCATTTCCATCATTGCCCATCCCATAATAACCTTCAGACACAGTCCAGATCTGTCTCCCAACACCCAGACGCACAATGAACTCATCCGTTGTCCACCGAGCGCAGCGGTGCCTGCGGTGCCTGCGGTGCCTCTGTCAGAGTTTATTTACAGTCCACAGCATCTCAGCCTCTCCATCACTGCCGCCACGCTAACTCACGCATGTCGACTCTGGGTGTCTGTCTACGCCGAGTACTTCCTGCTGACAAGGCCAGCATATATGTTTGTGTGTTTGGATGTGGGTCTGCCGCTTCTGGAATATATAAACTAGCAGGGCTGCACGATTAATAGAAATCAAACCAAAATAACAGAATGGCTAAGCGCAGCACTGTGTTCTTTTACACATGAACAGCTCATGATCCAGTGTTTTCAGTGTCTCGGAGCGGCTCGGTTCACCGTAAATGCTGCTCTACAAATGTGCTGTGAGTTTGGGTCTTTAATGTGCATTTGCAAACACAAACCATCTTCCCAAACTTGTAATGAGAAACGCTTATAAAGAGACGCTTATAAAAAAAAGAGAAGCTCTAAGGGCTCCCTGCAGTTTTCTTCCAGAATAAAAACTTGATGGTTTAGACAGCAATACATTTTTTTTCTTATTTCAGCTGTAAAGTAAAGTAAAATGATTATGATTATTATTATGATTATTAAATATTATTAGTAATTATGACTACCTCTACTACTACTACTAATCAATACTTTTATTTTACTTATATTTTATTACTACCGGTATTATACATTATTTTACAAATATTTATTTTTAATTTAGTAATAATAATAATAATAATAATAATAATAATGATAAATACTCATATTCTATTACTATTATACTTTATTTTACAGAGAAATATTACAACAACAGCAATATATTTTAATTTTTTAATTTAATAATAATAATTATAATAATATTACTTTTATCTAGTAGTAGTAGTGGTTTTGTGATTAATATTAATATACTCATATTGATATATATTCTAAACCGTTTTGGCCTAATTTTATGTATAGACCTACAAACTACAAACTAAATTGCAAAATCAATTTTTATCAGAAAAATCACAATTTGATATAAATGATAAAGTAGCCTTTAGTTGTTTTTGCATGGTTTCTAGCTTTTATCATTTGTGCTCATTGGTTGGTCCAGATTGGTCTAGATCAGTGGTTCTCAACCTTTTTTACTCTAAGGCCCTCTCCTCTCCGAATCAATACTGCAAGGCCCCCCAACCTTTTCTATTCACAAAAACCTTTGTATTCTAGCGTTATTAATGAATCCGTTTTATTTTTCCCAAATTAGCCTAAGTTAAATTTTTTCGTTAAAATTTTTTTGTATTCAGTTTTTTTTTTTCGCTTTAATTTTTCTGGATGATTATATTAAATTTTCACAAAAAACATGTATAATTAATTAAAATCATGAAACTTGTTTAATTTAACAGCAGTTTAGGCCTATTAAAAGTTTAACAAAAATTACATTCTTAGGGCCCAAATTCTGCGCTTTCTATTTTAATTTTTCTGTATTCCATTTTAATGGTTTAATCAAAAACATATCTAATTAACTGAATTCATGAAAAGAACTTAATTTATTAATTTGTATACAATAATAGGGCCCTGTGAAATTTTTATTTTATTTACTTTATTTTTTTGAAATTCTGTGTTGTGTATTTTCATTTTTCTGGTAATCAAATGAAGGCAAAAACATGAATCTATCTTTTATTCCAATGAAAATTAAACAAACCCTTTAATTTTTGTACATTCAAAATGCTACACAACAGAAGTTTACCTGGTTAACGAGCAATGTCACGGAATTCGTCAAATATTGAATGAATAAATAAAATGCAATTCAGTACACTTCAATCAAACCGCGATATGGACTAGTGTATGTGAATATTAAATGGCAAAAATACTATTTAGCTACTACAGACGACAACCGCGAGCATTGCGCGTGCTTAAATAGCCAACAAAACGCGCGTCTGCACCGTTCATTCTGTCACATTCCGCGCTACACAGTAAATTCCGTTTTTATGAATAGATTCTGGAATTCCGTCCCCATTTTC